GTCAGTAGATCATAGACCAAACTAATTATTAAAATACGTATACACAACGTCTAGGTTTCGTTTCCTAATGATCAAACAAATTCATTAGTGTAATAATTAAGGCCCAGACACAGATTGTATGAAAAGTTTTAAATAATCTATTAATCTGTGACCCGGAATCGAATGAAAAACGTATTATTTTTTTGGGAACTCATATTTAATGCTTTTCAAGTACAAGATCTGTTTCTTACATTAGAGAATTGAAAACATAATTTATGTCTTACATTTTTAGTAGTTTTGAAAGTTTTTTAATCATTTTTATAATTGTTACGTCGTATTATTAATTTCTAGTGCTCATTTATACATCATATTATGCATTTTCGAATTAAACTTAATTGGTAGGTACTTTAAAATATTAGTTCATGAAATTTCGTTCCCAATATTATGCATAATTTGTCGACAGAAGGCATTTCTGCTTATGATTTCGATTTTCGATGTGTCGATAACGTTTTTATCGTCTGATTAACGTCTGTTGTGTACCAAGGACTCAGACCAATAACAACTAATATTGATCAGTTGGTGTTCGTATTTTCGTTTGGTAAAATGATGAAAATTTATCTGGGGAATTTCTTAAAGACATTATTGAGGTTGAATGCATTTTTTGTCACTTTTTAAATCATTTTTTGGTTGTTTTCTGGCAATCCTCATCCATGTAATAATATTATAAACCTCATATATATATTTGCACGTATATTAACTTTTGATCTTTTAAATTAATCGTGACCCTTCAATAATTATAGCTAAAACTCTGCTTACAGAATAGGTATTGGTATATTTATTGTATAATATAGGGTGATTTGACATGATGTTTTCCACACTTTTATACTTGAATTAATGAATTTATTAGGATTCCTATTTAATAATTTTAAAATGTACATCAAAAGGTATCACATTTTACAGCACATTTGTTGTAGTTACCAAATTCAATTCTACTTGAAAACAAAATTCTACTTTAAACTACCAAATAGATTTAGTTGAAACAGTAAGAGACGGACTTAAGAAAATTGAGAATGAAAAGGGACAAATACTCTATGAAGAATTCAAATCAGAAATTGATGAAAATACCGGCTAAAATATTTTAAAACTGTATAACGATTCAATCCATAGAAATGACGTTGATTTAAAAGAAAATCCTGTTATTGTACAATGCCCTATTACAAGTGTCGACGTAGAACATTAAGTGACAGAAGGCATAATTTTACAAGATATTTGGAAATTTACATGATAATACATTTTAATCAAATATTGTAAATTAGTTTATTATTATTTTATTTAAATTAAATTAAATATATTTTCAAATTTAATATTTTGACATAATACTTGATAGTTAATGCCAACTAATAAATAATTATACAATTAAAAATAAAAGAGTACCTATAGTGAAAAATTTGTTTTTGCACATATTATAATTTGAATTGCACGTCTTATAGGTGTTAGCTACACAAAAATATTTAATTATAATCATGATACATCGATGATATATCAGCAAGTAATTTATAAGTAGTATAAAAATTAACTCTGTTCATTAGTTCAACTACACGATATTGGTATATTACCGTCAAAAGCCACCAAGCAGTAACTCCATAAATGTAGACTTTAATGCGAAACATTAAAAACAGTTTTCAACCCTAGAACAAAAATAATATTTTTTTAAACCTGTAAAGTATGGTATGTTAATTATATGTTGTACAAAGAAACTATTTAACACAAAACACAAGTTTTCTTAGACATTTTTATGTGTTTATTTACTACCGCTTTTAGTAGTTTTATAGTCAGGAAAACAAGAATATATTTCATTTTTAGCGAAGTATTGACACGTGCGTTCGCGTGTGAGAGTTGCTTCCGGTGCGGTTGCCCGACTCGACTTGCTGCGATTCTCGGAAACGATGACGGATTAAGCACACTAATGTTCATTTACTACTCCCACATAGGTACAGTATTAATTTATATGTCACATGAATTGCCTTTATTTATTTATTAAATAGTACTCCTTAAAATATGCTACGTTGCAGCCCTCTTATTAATATTAGGTATTTAGGTATTAGTACTGAAGTAGATTATATTAATTTTTGCTGAAAATAATGCATTTTAAAATGTCATTGTCTGTATTCAAATATAATAATATAGATACTTTGAAAGTATCAAGAACCCAAGAGTAATATTTTTAAATTACAACAAAATAACTAAAAGCATTATAGGCGTTAAGGCGTTTAAAACGTTAAGGGGCCTCAACAATGACATTTATTAAGGAACATTATATAGGCAATTTCTAAACTACTGTTGTGGATGTGTTAGTAATTGTATACTCGTAAATGGACATTAGTGTTAGTAAGTCGGTTAGCTTGTGCCGCGTCGGGTGACAACGACGCGAAGGTTGAGAATGGTGGCGGGGTCACTTTACGCACTCGCAGGCAAATGTCAAACAGATTGTTCGAAATAAATGCAAAGAAAAATTTCGCCCTAAAGACACGATTCTAATTTAACAGTACGCTCTTATAAATACTTCGATTTAAGTTTTGAATAACTTATAAATTCTTAATAACATTTCCAAGGCATCGCTCGTGATACAATTTAAAAAATATTTATAATTATTTAATTATTTTGACTTGAAAAGTTACAATTTTTTAAGTTTTGTAATCGTTTAAAAAAATAATATTGACAATAAAAATTTAAAATTTATTCCGACCGATGCATCAAGCAAGTATTGAAAAATCTAAATCCGTTTTCAAAACTTATGTCGGTTGACGCATTCTAGTCTATAGAGTATGGTTAAATTTAGAATGTGTTATTTTCCATAAAAAACGGGCTGGTGTAGAGGCCCCTTAATACAATTTATAATGATAAACGGCGTGTAGGCAGATAATATAATATAACCCATATAATGACTATTAAAGTTATTTTTCATATTATTTTCGTCTACAGGAAATTTATATTAAAATAGTAAATTTTAAATATATACTAAAAACCTCCTTAATAATTTGCATTATTCTTTGCACTAAAATTAACTTAATTTAGATACTTTTAAATAAAATTAACTTTTTACCGTCCAAACACTTCAAACTTCCCGCCGCAATCGGTGCATTATTTTAACCCGCCTGTGAAGCGGATTTCGAGATCGTGCACCGCATCACCTAGTACCTTCGATGCATCGACGCAAGAAATGAAATCGGCGCTCCGATTGGTGCCCGCATGAATCAGTGTGACCACATATGCCAACACTTGGATATTGCTTTGGCATCGCCATTTCCGCACTTTACTTTTTCGTTTAATCATCGACAGAACAGTCGCAAAATGGTAGCATAGCGCGACGTAGACCGTAAAGCCGGAGCCTTGGTTTGGTTAAGACGTCTGAATAATTCGGAGCACAGACCGTCTGATCTGACGTTCGAATACTTCTCAAAACGTACGGGCAGTTATGAACTACGAAGCCGTTCATTTATTGTGAGTACTTGAAATAATTAAATATGATATACTATTGGGTATAATTATTGCAGTCTAGTTCGCCTTCGCCATTTTGAATTTTATTTTTATCGAAACTTGTGTAACTCGTCGAGTTCAAGACGGCGGTGCAATCAGAATTTGTCGCTCACACTTGGTTTCGAAATTATGACCTTCCAAAGTTATAGGTTTTACGTTTATACGCATGCCCGCAACACTACCAGCTACTATAATGATATTTTCGTTTTTTACTGTCCGAGAGAGCTCGGCGATCGACAGACCCCACTCGGCGACTCGGTGCAACAAAAATGATCCTCCATATATAGGAGTGTTGCGGGCATGCGTATAAACGTAAAATCGAAAACTTTGGAAGGCCATAACTTCGAAATGAGTGCACTAATCGTAGCGTCGCTATCATACACTTAAACGCCTAATGTACAATGTTTGGAATAGAACACTAATAATTTATTAGATAAAGATAAATATAACAGTACCCTAAATTGTATCTAGATAATGATTAAAAATAATTAAACTAAATTTTATCTAAAATTAATACATTTTTATCTAGATAAATTTCAGATAATTTCATGTTTAATTTTGCAAATATTCAGTGAAATAGGTATTAATTTTTAAAAAAATACCTAATTTAAAACATTCAAAATAAAATAATAATAATACAAAGAAGCTACTATCTAACATTTAAAAAAAATAATAATAATAAATTAAAATAATAATAATATTCAAACCATGTTTGATTTACAGCATAAAATTATTTTTTAAATACTATCATTTTACCTATTACGCCTAGGTATTAATACTTGTATTGTCTTACTAAATAACCCCTCAACTGGTGATGAGGACGGAATTGTAGAATTATATTTTAGGAATACCTCTAAAAATTACTCAGTCCGGCCCTGTACTGGTTGCTGTAAAATTACATTGTCTTCAGTTTTGGCATGCTGAAACAGTATCAGTAAATAAGTAAATTGGTCTCTGCGCATTTTCTATTAAAATATTGATTTTGAGCTAATATTTTATTCTAAATACTTTTAAAGTTTTAACTTTTGTCAACAGGATTCCTATACTTTAAAGATGTCCAAAAATCCATTTGTGAACTGAAAGTCATTTAAACGAAGAAAGATCAGAGACCCAAACTACAGAAATATTATTTTGTCCGATTACAATGGTACGGTATGTTGAATCACACAGTGATTAACCTACTAAATGGGTATGCAAAATATGCCTCAAATGCTTATTGTATTAGTAAGCCACTCTAACCATTTGGCCAATTGCAGTGGTCAATCTAACCATGCTACACTCCCCAAACTAATAATAAAGCTAACAATAAAGTTTAAAATAATTGAATCAATTCATAACATAATTCAAAGTTAAATATATAGATACAATTCACAAATTACTATGAAATATTCAGAATTAAACAACTGCAGGCTGTAAGGAATTATCCAAAAAGTAATACCTAATATAAAATTTAAAAAAATACTAATAAATCAAAATTAAATCAATCAAAAATTATTGTATGGATTTTGCTCCTTAGGTTTATCTTCTTCGTCATTTGCATGTTCTGTTATTAAAGGAGGATCTTTAACTTCATTGTCAGATAGTTCTGAGGCTAGACTGCTAGATGAATTTTCATGTGGTTCCAAGTGTTTCCTTAGCGTAACATCAATTGTTGCCTTTTTACAATACTCACATATATATTGAGTATCTTCATTTCTGAACAAAATAAAAATAAATTAACTTTTTACATTATGTTTGATAATAATTAATATAAAAATAAGACAGAACTATAACTTTTTAGTTAGTTTGGGTTTTATACCTTGGTTTGATTGATACCTACTGTTATAACTCGCTGTACGTGTGAGGTGGCACCTTAACCAAGGGCGCATGGCATTTTTCGCACATCTAAAATTGGACTCAATTGACAGCAACGCTAATAGAAGATATTCGTCACCTGCGCCTACGACCACATCAATAGAAGGATTCATAGGTAAGTCGTATCTCGAATAATATACATAATAGGTAGTAATAACATGATGATAAATAATATACATATTGTATAGCCTGCATGTATCTATACCTGTAAACCTTCCTCTTCAGCAAACGTATGTTCAACAAGAGAATCTTCAGTTATTTGTATAATATTATGATGGGAGTCGTTCGACAGAATTCAAATATTCTGCCATAACTACTCAATACTCTTAGTACCTATATGATTTTTATAGTTGCATTTGTATATTATGCTTCTTTTTTTATTATTATTTAAATTACATTTATTGATGAATAACCCATAAATTAATTTCATGACTTCACAAATGAAAAATATTAAAAGTCATTGATACATATTTTTCCTTCTTTAGAAATTTTTTATTTTAATTTTAATTTTATACTTCAAAGATAGAGTTTCAATGTAATACTATACGTAAATATCTATTGTAAATTTATTATAGATATTAAGTGGTGAAGAGTGGAATAGTATTAATATATTTTTCTTAATTTTAAATAAACTTTACACTCAATATAAAAACATGGAACTCCAAGAAATTAAAAAATGATTAGTGCATATTTTTCATTTTTAAATGCATAACTGTAAGAGCACCCATTATATGGTATTGTGAAGGCGAAAAACTATGTTCAAGGTGTCTTAGGAGACGTATAACATAATAAGCTTTACAGAAATTGTTGCTGTGTCCAAAACTTAAATTTTTTCTTCGCAGGGTGGCTTGGAATTACCGTCATATTCGTCCCGGTCATATGTACGGTTCTAGTCAATTTATTCTTTTACATTTCCACCAAGACAGTGTCAATCAGATGTCGACGACATACAATCAAATCCATCACAAAATGAAATATAGGTAAGATCAGTGTTATTACAATATTATTAATCAACGTACAATGGGGACTTTAAAGTTTATGCAGTGTGAGTGAATATCGTAGTATATATTATACAAGTGTGAAGTTAATATATTCAAATATACTAAAAAAACAAAATAATTACAATACGAGTATTGCAATTATAATGATTTCCAAAGTTAAAAGTTCAGTGATTAATGTCAACGAAAAGTTAATAATTTACTAATTACTTTCAAGCCGCCTAAACTAATCATCACTACAACCGAACTTACTTTCAAATAAACCATGACTCAACTTATCAAAAACTCTTTTGGTACTTTAAAGTTGAATGTTAATATTACTAAAACATAATCCTTTTTTAACATACTTCCTGGAAACTTTAAAATGTTTACGGTTTTAAATAAAATTAAAAGCTTTGTAATCTGTTAAGGAATCTTAAATAAAAAAATACTGTTAGAGATGATGAATAATAAAGTATTAGGTATCATAAATTATTATTTTTTGAAACGAATATTTACTGCACACATTTTACAAAAATGAAACATCTACCAACTTTTCTTAATGATAATATTCAGAATATAAACTACAAATTTTGAAATATGAGAACTTTAGATTGCCATCGTTTCTATGTGATGATTAAACAAACTAACGAAAAAGTAATAGTTCAGTCTTATTTTTATATTAATTATTATCAAACATAATGTAAAAAGTTAATTTATTTTTATTTTGTTCAGAAATGAAGATACTCAATACATATGTGAGTATTTCAAAAAGGTAACAACTGATGTTACGCTAAAGAAACACTTGGAACCACATGAAAAAAGCAGACAAGACTCAGAACTATCTGACAATTAAGTTGAAGATGCTCCTTCAACAACATACATGCAAATGACGATAATCTTAGCTAGTAGCTTCTTTGTATTATTATTAAATTAAGTTAGAGAATGACTTCTCACATTATGTATTTAAAAATAAACTATTTTATTTTTAATGTTTTAAATTATGTATTTTTTTAAAAATTAATACCTATATCACTGAATATTTGCAAAATTAAACATGAAATTATCTGAAATTTGTGCAAAACGGAAAATGTTGTCGACATCCTCCGCGCAATGTAAGTTAATTTTGGTTAAAATCAATTGCCAAAATCAATTTCATAATGTAGGTATATTAGATTTTAACATTTTGCAACAAAAGTTGTTGAATGATGACCAAAGAATGACCATTATTTACAAAAACTAATATTTAACTTTATTAAATGTTATAATATATTTATTAGTTTTATTTACAACTAATGATAAGACCTAAGAGTTTATAACCTAATGTTTTAATTTTTAAGTGTTAATGACAGCAAGTCGCGAATGAAACAAAATACCATTACCTCCAGTAAGGCCTGCCAGTGGACTTCGAATTCCTCACAATTGTTCAAATTTCTTACAAACAATCTACAGTCTTAGGAATGATTTGGTAATAGTTCAAAGTATATCTTAAACATTTCTGTGTTAATTGTGTGTTGTATACATTGATCAATCTCATTCATTAGTAATTTGCTAGAAGGCTATTTTGTTAATTACTAAGTTACAATTTCTTTTACATCACAAAACTTAGTTAACTGGCGAAAAGCGTTGTGGTTAAACCAGTGGCGTCAGCAGGATTTTTCAATGAGGGGGGGGGGGGCTTGAAAATTAATTACAAATTAATTTTTATTTTGTCCAGTCTAATAATTTCAGACGTTTATTTGAGGTATTTTAAAATGTTTGTAACTTTTCAACTTTTCTGGTAGAAAAAATGCTCTTATCATAAGCTTCGATGCCCAGTGTATGTTTTTGGAAGCAAATTGGATCTAGTTGGTACTTTTAGGAGGTCGAAATTGAATCTGCTCAGTGCTTTTAAAAGTACCTAATTGGAGAAATAAATGAAAACTTATTTAAATTGTTTGGTAACAATAGCTTGGTTTATGGTTATACCGTCCTCACTTGGATTGTATTTGATTAATTAAATTTTTTTTTTTATAAATGTTAATAAAAAATTATTTATCCGGTCAAAAAGCTTAAAAATGTAGTACGTAAGTTTTTTTATTATAGCTAAAATAATAACGATACATATGCATTTAAAGTTCAAAACAATTTAACCACAGTTAATTTGTAGTTCAAAACTTATAAAATATTAAAATATATGTATAGCTAAGGCTAGACAATTTAATACAAGGTCTTTCATACAAGTAGTTCATACTTTTACCGAAAAATTACAGATAATTTATGAAAATTTTTATGCAAATACAATGTTTTTTAAAAAATTAATTCATTATTCTGGTAAGACATATGAAATTTACGTCTTACTTAGTACAGTTGACAATTTAAACTTGATTAATATTTTTTTTTTAAAGTAATTATAATACAGCAATGGGGGGTCTTCAGCCCGTTAGCCCCCCCCCCCTCCCTGCGGACGCCACTGTTTTTAACCTAACGATTTCTAACACAATCTTAACAGAGTGTTTTTATTAGGATATCAGTTATTAATTTTAGGTTGTAGGGTGAGAGTATACATTTGTAAAACCCTTAGATTATAATATACAATGGATATAGCTACTTTAATAATTTTCCAACATAATCCCCTACTTATTAGTTATTTTATAGTTATCGTTGGCACAATAATTTGTTGCTCCCTGATATTGAATGGGTGGTGGGTGGTTATGTTTTAACATACATCGGTATTTGAGCAATACACACGTAGCTCCATCCATAATATATGATCTAAGGTAATACCATTGATTATAAGGGAATTCAATATTTATAATCAATGCTAATAGACCTGCTTTTTGTACACTATGAGGTGAGGTCAATGTAATATCATTTATACTTAATATGACTTATTAATATTGTGACTTTGAAAGTAACTCGTGGTCAGGTACTCCGCGTGCAGCGTGATACCAATTTAACTTGTGCATAAAAGATCACCTTCGACTTATATGAGTCATATGTAATGCTTTTCAAGTACAAGATCTGTTTATTATATCAGAGAATTGAAAATATAAACTTTTGTTTTACATTTTTAGCAGTTTTGAAAATTTTTTAATCACTTTTATAATTGTTACGTCATATTCTTAATCTGTAGTGCTTATTTATACATCAGATTATTTATATAATCTCTGATATATTTGTACGTACCTACATTAAATGTTGATATTTTAAATTAATCGTGGCCCTTCAATAATTATAGCTAAAAATCTGATTACATAATAGGTATTGGTATATTTATTGTATAATATAGGGCGATTTGATAAGATGTTTTCCACACTTTTATACTTAAATTAATGAATTTATTAGCTTAGCTGTAAAACTTTTATCCAAGTACAGACCATTTACTTTAACTTTGCAGCATCCGTCAACCACCAAGTCCGTGAAAACCGGATTATGATATCGCTGGTTTTCTAAATCCATTAAAGGTATTAAATTGATACGTTGTGGTGGTAACTTTTATTTATGTAATTTTTTGTTGTTGTTATTCAGTGCAAGTTCAGTTACATTAATAAAATATATAGTTATTAGTTAGGTATATTTTGTATTTATATTTCAAAAATATTTTAACGATTTAATTGATTAATAACTAGTTGGATCTTGGAGATGATCTAACTAAAAGTATGTTTTTGTTTATAATATTCTTAACACGTGTAATTGAGGTTTGTATGTTGGTATTTTTATTTATGAGCACTATAGTAGTTGTACATTAATTACAAGGTAATTATTATTTATTAAACACTATCAACTTATTAAAAAATTATAGACATGCGAAACAACGATAAAATTGTTAATCAATATAGGTGTAAAAATGTACTGAAATTTAAATAATTAAAAATCTAACGAATGCAATTTCAAATTATAACACACATTTGTAATTATAAATATATGATTCAAAATAAATTGGTGTTGATATTGTCGTTATGATATTATGTGTATCGAATTCGGTAACTGATATAGTTAATTAATAACTCAATTAATTTAAATTAGTTTTTATGTCACTGACCAACACTAACATATTAATATATTACATTTAAATGTCAACTACCTTACCAGAGTTACAAAGTGAATTGATGAAAATATTATTTGTGACGTACAGTTTAAATTAATCGACATAG